GTATACCATGAGCATTATGTGATGGGAAAGAGGGTGTTGCGTTACTTGCAAGGGACTCGTGACTATGACTTGTTGTGGGAGAAACCTACCAGCCCTGATCTGCATTTCACTGCGTATGCTGATGCTGATCTCGGTGTAGAGAAAGATGATCGCCAGTCAATTACTGGATTTGTGCTACAAATGAATGGATGTACGTACGCCTACAAAAGCCATAAGCAATCAATGACACACGATGACACGTGTAGTTCCGAGTTTGTCGCTGCTGCTGAGTGCTCAGTGATGATAGTTTGGACGCACAATCTTTGTGAGGAGCTGAAACTCCGTCGTCGACGCCCGACTGTTTTGTACCAAGATAACCGTCTATGATCAAGTTGATTAAATCGACGAAGGGAAACTACAAGGTCAAGGGTGTAGATCTGAAGTTTCACAAGATCAGAGATCTCTATGAGCGTGGAGACTTTGATGTCTGTTACTGTCCTACGAAGGATATGCTGCCGGATATATTGACTAAGCCTCTTGGATCGACGCAGTTTACGAACTTGCGCGAGCGCCTGAATGTGGTACCGTTGCCAAGGATTGAAGGCAGTGCCAAGGAGACTTAAAGTCGAGTCAGCAGGAGTCAAGATGGCGGACCTCGAAGTGGGAGTGTTCGAGTCTGGAGATAATATCGTGCTCCGTCACACGACAGTTAGCTGCAGCAGGAGTTTAGTGGACGCAACGGTCTGTTGAAGTTGCAGAATCTCACTGGGACGAGTGCAGCACAGACAATACTGCAGTTAGTATAGGACAGCTTAACCAGAGGGGGGTTGTCACCGACTGAGGTTTTCCCTACCTCAATCCCAAACTTGCTGAGTGGAGAACAAGTGTCGTCTTCTGCTTAACGTCGGTAAGGAAGTTTTTTGGTAATCGCTCCGCCCTCCGCCGTGCTTGGCGAGCTCGACCAGATTTGCAATATCACGGCTTGCGTGAATTGGCACTGCGGGTGCGCGACACATTGGACGTTGAGGATTCCATCTAAAAACCTCACTTAGCGCTCCCTATGAAAAGGTTTTGCCGCGGCATTCAGTCACCACCGGATTCTCGAATATCTCGAGACTGGGCATGTGAGTGCTGCCTCTTGCTCGTCCAGAAACCTGCGGTTGTTGTCCCGAAAGTGGTTAGCTCGTTAGTAGCTTGGTCCAGCGCCTTCTTTAGCGCTGAGATCTGCTGATTTTTTTCTTGCATTTCAACGTGGAAATTGACCGGACGATGCTACTGCCGAATCTTCAGTGAGGTCGATGTGCTCGTTCGTGTCGTCACGGCCCAACTCTTGAACATGAGCACCTACATCGCGAGGTTGCGATGTGTTCCTTTCAGGCACATCTACGTGAGCGGTAAAATCAATCATTAGTTCCTCCTGCGGACGCTTGTCGTGCATGAGGTATGGTCACTTGTCTGGAGGAACCAGAATGGTAGGAAGGGCAGTATGGACGGAAATGTAGACATCTGTAAATTGAAGATATTGAAATACGCAAATGTGGCCATCTAAAAATATAGGAAATGCGGTTGCTTGAGAACTTCTGTTATCATAGTGCCCGCCACGATAAGCTATACCCGGTCGTCACGGAGCAACGTGTGCGAGATTGGACAAATGGATTTCTAGATCGAAGCTAGCCGTTATCAACCTGAGTGATACATTTGCTGTTGTTGCGACTTAGTACTTCCATCGGAATTAATAAAATAACCACTAGTAAAAGCCCACGTTCGTGAACGATAGTGAGCGATAGTAATTCTAGATCTCTGTCATGCAGTCAAAATTGGCTACATCATGTTGTACGATGAAACTTGCACTTTGAACTGTCCTGGGCCTTTCTTGAGTAAATAACATTCGTTCCGTAGGATGTCAACGAAGTCACGGAAGTCATCCACCTTGAGTCCCATGCTGTCAGCAACTTCGAGCAAGTCTTCCATTGAAAACAACGAAGTGTTGCGCCTGGCTGCAGCTTTCATGAGTCTTGCGACGTAGGCCTTGACCTTCTTGGCCAGACTCATCCCTCCACTGCGTCCGAAGTCCAGGTTCCCATCCTCCGTAATGTACGTGTCCAGCAGACACTCCTGCATGATGTCAACGACGTCTTGTGCGTGTTCAGCGGATACCGTTTCAGCGAGTTCGGCTCGAGCACGAGCTTGGGACAGACGAATCATCGACTCGAGCTGACGTGTTGTAATCGGAATACTGTCCGTCGGATTCTGTTGACCTTCGCCCGCTGAACGCAGCTCCAGGTACTTCTTCTGGAGGACAGCAGCGGCTTCGGACGACAGCCGTGGATGCACATATCGACGAGCGTAGGCAATGAACTTACGTACAAAGTAAAGGGGGACCGGGTTCATACTGTACTCGGACGCGTTCTGACGCAGACGGTGTGACAGCATACGACGTCCAGACTCTTGAATGTCTTCGTATCCATTTACGGGTTCGTCAACGTAGCTGTTGGAGCTCCAAGAGGTCGTAGCACTGCTATCTCGCGTCCTTTTTCTTGATTTTTGCTTGCCACGTGCATGTGAGTTCATCACGTGCTCTGACAACAGTCGATCTCTTTCTTCATCTGGTCGGTCCAACAGGATAAAGACCAGGTCGAAGCGAGACAGTAGTGCAGCTTTCATTTTGAGGTTTTCTCCAACCGACCGACTGCGATCGTAGTGGCCACCGCTTGGATTTGCAGCGGCGATGACTGATGTCCGCGCATTCAAATTGCAAACGATTCCTGCTTTGGCAATACTGATACTTTGTTGCTCCATGGCTTCCAGTAGCGCCTGATAGTCGATTCCCATTTTATCGAACTCGTCAATGCAGCACACACCCTGATCTGCCAGAACGAGAGCTCCAGCCTCCAGCGCGTAGTCACCAGATCCGTCTTTCACCATTGTAACGGTCAATCCTGTCGTTGTCGTTGTGTTTCCACCGACATAGACAGCTCGTGGCGCTACCATGGATACAGCTCGAAGCATCTGACTCTTACCCAGACCAGGATCTCCAACAACCAGCACATGGGAATCTGCTCTGCGTACACACGTGGTGTCTTTCTCGTCCGAATTCCGCGTTCCACCGAGTAATGCGAGGATCAAACCTGCTTTTACGATATCATTCCGATAAATTCCGGGGCACAGCGAGTGCACGAGGCGATCGAAGACGTTGCCCTGGTTGATGATGTGGCTGATTTGCTCCAGGTCTTCCTTAGTGAAATCAATGTCCGAAGCTCGGTCCTTATCTTTGTCCACCTAAGCAAGCGAGAATGAGGATATACGAATTGCATGTCAAAAAAATCAGAAGAAAAAAAAAA